TCAGTGTGAACGGCTATCTTGATATATATATATATATATATATATATGTATATAAAAATAACAATGCAATTTTGTGACTTCAAATACATTTTCTTTAAAAAACTATAAACAAAAAATTAAACCAGTTTTTATACAATATTTACTACAGTATTACAGACCAAACATAAACAGTCTGATGAAAAAAAAAACGCCCTCCCTCATCAATTAAAAAAAAAAGAGTGATATCGAATATTTTTTTCTATGTGTGCCTCCTGAAAGGGATGTCCAACTCAAAATAAGAAAAATTAAATAAACACGATTTTCGATAACTAGTAGGCTAGGCTTAGGGTAGGCAAGGCCCTATCTATGAAGAAGTTCTCTCTCATTATAGTGCCTAATCAATTATACTGTATTCAGCTATCGATCCCACCATCAATTTCGATTTTACAGCAAATTTTAGACTGCGGCAATGCCGATAGAAAACTGCAATTTTTCCCGCACTGTGGCAGTGCCGATATAAAACAGAAGCTTTTTTTTGGCACTGCAGCAGTGCCAATAGAAAATATGAGCTTTTTTTTGCACTGCGGCAATGCCGATAGAAAACAGCACATTTATGTCACTGCGGCAGTGCCGGTAGAAAACAGGAGCTTTTTTTTTGGCACTGCGGCAGTGCCAAAACGGCACTGCAGCAGTGACGATAGCCACTACCCCTGAGGCCTCCGCGACCATCGACGACCCTCTTTTCTACACGACCAAGTTGCTCATAGCAGCTCTCACACTAGTCGGTGTCAGTCGTATAGTGATCGCAGTGCATATAGGTCGTGATAGTGTGAGAATTTCTTAAGTATGACTCGACCCAGAATTGTGCTTTTTAACCACAGTATTATGGATTTACAGTCAAAATCACGTTATTTGGATATTAAAATTGATAGTTTTGTCTGATGCACCTCGTTGTGTCATTGGACAACGGCGGTTCTAGGCTTGCCTACTTATATTTTCTCCTTGCCACCCCACCCCCGCTGGCTCCGCCACTGATGCTAAACTCTTTCGCTTTCGATTTGAATTATTTAAGGGTATACGTACAATGCAAACAACAACAAAAGAAAATGCACACAAAAGTATTATGTGGAGAACACACAGTACCAAAAAGGGTGTACGGTACATAAGTAAGATGTCTTTCATTTGAAATTTTTCTAATAAGCATTTTCTACATTTCAAAAATTCTTATTTAATAGTTAACATTAGCAGCTGATCACTAAGTTATAATTCTATAAAACTTAAAGGACGAAATTCGCAATCGAATGCAAATGTAATAATTTTAAAATATTAAAGGGAGATAACTTTTAAACCAATATTGATTATTTTAGTTATAATACAGTAGTATTGAAATTGTAAAAATACCATATGTTTTTACTAGTTTTATTTAATGTTCATTACTAACAATAAAATTGTCATAAGCAAGTAAAATGAGCGATAAAATAAAATGATTGTCCTTAATTACTACACACGGAGGTGAATTAAAATAGAAAATCTTTGCAACATCAATTTGTCTTCTGTAGACACTCTGATACTATGCCAACCTCCTTCGAATTAAACTCGCTCATTGTAATAAGTACACTGCAAACAGACATAAAACACACACCAAATCATAGAGTATCATTAGTTTTATTAAAATGTTTAAAATAGTTAGGCCTATGCATGATTTCTTACATTTGGATTTTTTCTAATAGCCACTTTCACAGTAAAAGTGTTATTGTCTTTGATACAAAACAATTTTAAATTATCATCTGGGATGAACTTCTAAATCTTAACAGAATTATTTTCAGAAGATTCTAAATATACTGATCATTTTAGTTACCATCTTCCAATAGTAAAATTTCGAAAATATTAAATAAATGATATTAATATTCTTATAAGTACTCTACCATATGCAAGCAATAACATGGAAAACTAAAAAGCTTTATTACTACACCCATCGGGTAATTAATATGGAAAATGTTTAAAATATTATTTTTCTATTCTGTTACACTAAAATATTTCAACAAATTACCATGTCTACTAATGGTGTCAGTAAAGACGATAGCAATAAATGAAATACATACATCTACTTTGATTGTGATATTAAAATACATGTATTGTTATGTATTTTTGATAACTTATTTAAGGAGATGATGAGGGATCACAACATATTTTTGTTTTCCAACCCAAGACTTAAACCAGTTACCAACAGTTTTCTGCTTTGCAAATTCTCTATATACAGCATCAATTCCACTTCTTAAACTGTTCTTGTTTATTTGATATGATTGAAATCCCTTATTAGCAGCTTGTTCGTACACACGATGTGCATCATTTTCAGATTTGCTATGTCTTTCATCAAAGCCAAAACAATTTACATATTTCTGGAAAAAAAATGCAACAAGCTCTTATTCATAGAAACAATCGAATATAAATTATGAATTATTCCTTTGCTATGTATACATTTTCCAAATAAAGCATTATTTTAAAATAACTAATTGTAACAACAACACACTGGTAATTAACTAAAGTTCAAAATATCAACATTGTACTGTTATCTAAAGACCAACTTAGACAGCGTCGGCCGACGCAGCCCGACCCGATTTATCGTCGGGGACAGTCTTAAGTCGTCGTGAGAAAAAATAAACATGTTTAATATTTTACGACGGGACTACCACCGACGCACACCATCGCGTCTGCGTTTAACTCACACAGGCCCGACGCGACAACAAATCGCGTCGGGCTGCGTCGTACGACGCTGTCTGAGTTGGCCTTAAAGCAACCATAATTATATAAAATAATGAATATCTAAACAATGTCTATTGCAATTTAAATATATTATAGTAACATAACATTAACAATAATGAAAATAAATCTCACATCTTGCATTCCATCTCTGTAAAATGTTAGTGCTTTGTTATGAGCTGCATCGTTGTTCTTGTCAGCATTGTCCTTAAACAAAACAAACGATTATTGTTTTAAACCTTACACTACGCGATAGAAAATAACATTGCATAAATGTGTGTGTGTGTGTGTGTGAGTGTGAGTGTGTGTGTGGGGGGGGGTGGGTGTGTGTGTTTTATTCCATTTTATTATTGATGTCAGATAATGGTTTAGTTAGATTTTAGTAGAAAATATCAATTCATTTTTATGTTCTCTTAAAATGGAAACTAACAAACAATTAACACAATGTCTATTCTCAAATCAAAAAAATATTAAAGGAAATACCATAAGTGGTTACCCTCAGGTCCTGAGATAGGGGATCTAATAGGAACCAAAAAGTGAAATATCCAGTTTTGTAATATTGAGCTTCTGTTTTCTATTGCACGTGCATAGGTTACAGCAGACTAGCATGCAGAGAGTACCAAATTAATCAGGATTAGGATGTGTGTGTAGATTAGAATTCTATACAAAAGTATCATCATTGTTAATGGTCGAAATTGACACATTTATGCACTAGGCCAATACAAATGTCCATTTTAGATTTTCAGATTAAACAATATGGTCAGATGATAAACTCTTTTTTAAAAAGGTTTCGAAATATAAAAGTTGAATTTCTATTTTTTTATTTTTTTTATTTCTTGGATTCTTTGAGACTACTGTACTGTAGTTGTTTTGATCAAACATGTGTCCCCTTTATAATGTAAAGTTTGACTAGCATGCATAGACTAACTATCAATAGGCATAATTGACCATTTGGGACACTTAGAAAGTATCCCTGTCCCCATATTAGTGGAGTCGTTTTATTAGGGCTTTGCCGTAGTGTTAAAATATATTTCCCTCGTTTTACGAAACATTGTCCCCTGAATAGGTATGTCCCAATAAATCAATTATTAAAAATGAGAATACTCCCACCTTTTTCTGGTTGTTCAATTGTCTGTATTCATTTCTTTTTTCCCTCATTAAGTTAACAGTTGGACACTCCGCCATAGGCATTTCTCCAACACCCGCTCTTCTATATGCAGCTAAAGCATCTTCCCAGGCTTCTTCATGGATATATATTTCGTCTTCGGGTTTCTGGTAAGTTTCATATTTCTACCAAACAGTGGCAATGTGAATGATAAGAACGTTCTTTTGCTTGTACATTTTAATACAACTAGTTCATTGGTATTTAAAATATTAGTGCGTCTAAGCTGGTTATTACATATTTTATGATATATGGTTTTAAACAAAATACTAAAGTTTACGTTAAGAATAATATTACCTGAAAAATATAGAAAATATACAATATTCACCTCTTTTAATGTGTTGGTGTACCCATCCAATGCATACTGATAGGCGGTACCTTTCATACCCTTCAATAAAAAATGTAAAACCATATATAAAAAGAACGAAATTTGAATAGACTGTCTCTAATAAATTGGTCTGCTATCTTTGGGAATTTTTTTACTAACGAAAAAGAACCGTTCTGAAGAACCGTTCTTTGTGGCATTAGAAACAACGCCCACAAAAAGGCACCGTTTATTTTTTTTGTCCAAAATAATGGTTCTTGGCACTGAACCAATACCAAGACTGCAACGCTAAAGAAACGTTCTTCGAACAAAAAACAAAGAAGTCCTTCACGGGTGGTTTTTAGCTGCAGCATATTTAGCGGCCTCATTTGACCTAAGTCAAACACGCCACTATAGGCATCACAACTAGAATTGTTGAAAAGTAAGTAGTTAAGAGTTAAATTTTATCAGACTGTAAAATACTACTTATATAAATAATTAAGGACTCCTATATAATTTTCACTTTTGACATTTTCTTAAGTTCTTTAATAATGATCAAAATTATCAGAGTGTTCCAAAATTTCCACTAGTCCATTCAGTGACACAGTAGGTGGAATCAGTAAAACAAATGTTAAGCTTCTGTTCATGTTTCACAGCACAATGAATTATTTTCTGTTTTTAAGTAGTGTGAGAACGAAAGTTTAGCCATTGTTTTATTTGAATACCGACATGGTATTTGGATGACAAGATGAATCATCATTATCCTTATTGATACAAAGTTTCTTCTTTGGATTCAGTAGAAACTACACTTAAAGGTTTTTACATATCTGGATTGACATATTAAATCTTGATCAAGATAACTAGATTCAGGTTTAGATATTTATTTTGCTATAAAACTATTGAACTTTTGCATTAATGTTATAATATTAAACATTTGCATCTTCTATCCCATCGTCCTATGTTTTTGTACTTTTGTAACTTTTCGTGCTTTGATCGTTTTCTAACTTTGTCCAGGCGAAGGCCATTGTGCATAATGTAAATACTAATATTCCAGGGCCCAGGAACCAAAAAGGTGCACCCTCTGCTTTATACCTGTCATAATTTTTTTTAGTTTCCTTTATGTCTAAGCTTCAAGATGCCTTGTTAGTCAAGCTATTTCTGGTTGCCAGTGCCTGTAAACCGATATTAAAGATAGGTACCTGTTTTTGAACTGGCGGCATTAAAGTTTGGTTAATTGATATGGGGTAGCAGTGTATCATTTATGCTCACAAATTTTATATATGTGTGTATATATGTACATATGTGGGTGTAGGTGTATGTATATATATATATATATATATGCATATGTGCATTTCAAATTACAAGCAAATTCGGGGCAAAACCCCATCTAAATCACATCTCCGTGAACTTATCATACTGATTCTGACCAATAATAACTTTGTTTTCGGCGACGTTCATTACCTTCAAATTCATGGCACAGCGATGGGCACCAAAATGGCTCCATCTTTTGCTAACTTATTTATGGGACAATTTGAGGCCAATTTCCTGTCCCTACAGCCCAAGAAACCAGATGTTTGGTTTC